AATAACCGTCTGATAAGTGCTAATCCATTATCAAAATAAGCAATATCTTATTGGTTGGCTAACGGATTAGTAAATTTAAACACTGATATCGGTTAGGCCAAACAGTTACGCGAAATTATCCGCTCAATTCGTTCGATAAGAAGCCCTACAACTAAGTGACATAATTATATGTAAATAAGTTTTAGAGTGAAGTCTCAAAACTTTACCTAATGAAATATTTATTTTGTTAAGTTTAGACCTAAACTATTGGGAGTGTGAGAAAACACACCTCAACTATGTTTTTTAAATTAAAGTTCCCCTAGTTAGCAGGAGTGTTATATATCATGAGAATAAATACAAGAGGGGGGCCTGACCTTACCTCAACATACAACACAAAGGATAAAACTTTTACCCTATGAAAAGGAGGGTAAGGAGATAGCTGTCTACACACTAAACCCCCACACATATAAGAAAGTAAATTAGCTAACAAAAGAGTTCGCCTTGTCGTATTTGAGTCTAATGGATGGCATTTGACTTTTGTCCAATTGATAAGGGCCTTTTGCACCATTAGGAATCTGCTGAAAGGAGACAAAAACATGGCTGTTCAGGTTGGTGTTGGCCATCTTAGCCAAGTAATCCGCAACCTTATTGTCCTCTCTTAGGCAATGTTACTCATAAGTTTGAGAAACAAACCTCAAGTAATATATGATGGTATATGTATTACACTCTTCTTATTTATAAAAAAAATTTGCCACGTGAAAAATAATTTTACTATGGCAAAAAAGTTAAAAATTAAAATGGAGAACAATGGAGGAGGAGGTTGAAAAAAAATGCAATCGAGGTTAAGAAACGAAGAAAAATGGTTGAGAAATGATGAAGAAGAAGGGGAGAGTTTAAGGGTTCAAAATCAATTGAAAAAAAAATAAAAAAATAAACGTGTTAGGAAAAAAAGGAAAAAAAGGAAGTCATGTGGATGAAACTTCAAGGTCATACGCATCTAAGTGTATGCGAGTACGCATATTTAGTTCAGTCAGTATTGAAGTGTGTTTCTCAAATTAATGAGTGAAAGTATAAGTATATTTATCACAGTTTCAATAGTTTAGGTATGAAACTAAAAAAATCACTTTATCAATTGCTTCAGGCGTTGGGAAACCAGTTGCTCTAGATAAAGCCACTCAAGAACGTACCAGGCAAAGTACTGCTAGAGTTAAGGTCATTCTAGATCTACTGGATAAGCATCCAAAAAAAATTAAGTTGTTCTTCATGGACAAAGATTTAGGCAAAGTTATTGAGCATTATCAAGAGTTTGTTTATGATAATCTCCCAACGTATTGTATACACTGTAAACGACAAGGGCATGATGAAAATAATTGTCATGTGTTTCTCGTCAAGGTTGGTTCTAAAATTTAGAATGATGCAACGGATAAACGTACAGATGTGGAACAATATCAAGGTGATGCAAGGAAGATTATAAATGCTAAATTTCAAAACAAAATCAACAAAGAAGAACATCGACAGTTGGTCCCTGATGATAATTTTGGTGAAGGAAGAGATTCTCGAAATAATTTGGGGGTTGTCAGGGATGCTACTGTTGATCAAGCTGTTGCAAATGGTTTTGAAGAAGCTACAACTTTTAACTCTAATAATGAAGAGAATCTAGAGAACAAAGGCAAATCGATTGAGGCCGCTAGGCTAGGTGTCGGGAGAGATGGAGTGTTGGGTTCACCTAATGTAGTTGTGGCTAAACAAGACAACTCCATTGCAGAAAACTCCAATAACGAATGGACTTTGGTCTCACATAAAAAAAATGGTGTTTCTAAGTCCTCAAACAATCAGATTTTGCACCAAAAAAATTCTATAGAGGTCGAGCTTGATAGAAGCAACATCATAATTGAATGTACTCAATTCGACGTATTGCAGGATGAGAATATTGGACAGCAAGAAAGGATACATGGTACATATGAATTATCTACTGAATTTGGGAGTACTTTAGGCAAATCCGAACATGTTACTGGTGTACTTCAGCACACACAAATTCTGCCCAGTTTGACAAAGACGTTAACAATTTGGGTCTTGATCCTCGAGATTTGAACAAGAATAGGGAGCATGTTGAGCAACAAGTTGTTTTGACACATGAAAATGAGTTCATTGTTACAGAGGAGATAGCTGGTAAAGAAATCGGTCCAAATACACCTATCATGGTTGTTTCGGATCCAGAGAAAGCTAAAAACGATTTGAATGTTTCTAAAGAAAAACAAAAGGAAACGAGTGCTTCTAAATGGGCAGATTTAGTTGAGGAAGAGGAAAACATTACTTCACCTCCTATGAGTAAGTTAATCCCTCAAGCACCCGAATTTGTGCCTACAAGTAAGGCAAATCCATCTATGATAATGACAGTTGATAGCTTTAAAAAGAGTTTGGCCATGAACACCAAAGATATTGGAGTATTGGCTAAGAGTCATGATCCGGAAGTTATAGTTTCAGGAATAGTCCAACTGTAGCTTATGATACTGACTTGGGAACAGACATGTCCGATAGGGATGATGAGGAAGAGATGTTGGACATATGCTTTGATAAGGTGGCCAAGGAAGGGGATCTCTCACCAAGGCAACAAAGAAGTGTGGAAGCAACAAAACCAAAAAGAAGTCACATGGAAGGCAAAACAGTTGGGATGGTAAGGTGACTGAGGACTTTGTTCCAAGGCACCTACCAATGCGACTAGCAAAGCAAAATCATATGATAGTGTAAACAACTTTAACAAGATCCAATAAATCCAAGAAGAATTGATGAACTATCAAGTGTTTTTGGACAGAGTTGAAGAAGAAGATAAGAAGAAAATACTTCATGTTACTTTTGATGGGAAACTATCTTTTTTAGCTAATACATATATAAATTGAAGTTTGAGGCTAATAACTTAATCTTATTCTTGACTTTTATATTCTTGCATTACTTAAGTATCTTCATATGTAATATCATTACAGAGAATACGATAAACTCTACGATGATCATAGAATATCTAGTTTTGTCTAGCTCTTTTTTTCTTCATACTTGTTAAGTAGTAGAGGTTTATTATTGCAATAGGATCGGTAAGGTAAGGTCTACCCCCCTTGCTTGTACTCCTCTCTTCGAAGGTTCTTTTATTTATTAATGAAAATTTCTTAGTTAAAAAAAAATTATGGTGTTTCCCATTATATTTTTTTTTTTTTAAAAAAAAACTCTAATTCTATTTAAAAAAAAGTTCAACAATATTAATTATAATGGATATTATAAATAACTTGTAGTTTTACCTTTTCTCTCAAGGCTCATTTTAAAATTAGAGTATATATATAAAAAAAATTATAATGGACATATATAATACTTGTTTATATATAAGATTAAGTCATCGACGACGATCCCTCAAAGTTGTCAGCATATTCACTTAGATACCTTAGCTAGGACTATTACATGTTGAACACTTTTAGCAAAACATGTTTGTATTAGAAATTTTTCGATAATCAACAAAAAATGTTAAGGGTGTACAATACACTATCAATGACATGGCAAAATGATTAAAGAAAAGACAACATGTGGCAAGTGGGCCCCAAAATTATGGAAAATGATTTTTAAATTAAAAAAAAAAAATTATTTCAAATTCTTTTTCTACCATTCTACCTAACCCCACACTACCCCACCCTCTTTCATCTTTATATTCTTTTCTGCAATATTTCTTTTTCCAGACCACAAAACAAAACATCATTACACAACCAGTGGCCTGAGATATTACAGACGTTTAGTTTGTCTACTACATTACAGACACTCAAATAATGTAGTTCTTGAAGTCATTGAAAGGGTTGATATGTCTTTGTCCTTCATTAGATGTTTCTAATTGAGCTTGAAAATAAAGAATCTCGTGACATATAGCGTTAGGAACGAAAATATTTAGGTGTAATGTGGAAGTTAGCAACATAAATTTTGAAAGACCATGAGTAAGAAGACAAACAAGAAATATACCAAAAGACACAAAGATTTAACGTGGTTCGGTCAATCGAATGACATCCACAAAGGAGATGAGCAATCCACTATATAAATATGAGAGTACAAAATATAGAGAGAAATAACATCTACCAATTCACTCAGAATACATGGGAGGTTCACACAAATGATAAGACATCACTTGTGTCCCACAAATTCTCCCCTAACCAAAACTCTCAAAGCCCCTAGGACTATATTGTGTTAGAAGGAACAAACCTCTATTTATAGAGTCCTAAACCTTTTTCGACAAAAAAAGGACTAGTCAAATATTAAACCTTTTCCTAAAAGGAAAACCTATGTATGGTAAGAAACTCAGGGCAATTAATACCCAACAAATCTCCCCTTTGGCCTGAATTTCTGACAACAAAAATTTGTCCACCTTTTTTTTTAGATTTTCCATAGTCATAAATTCGAATTAATTTATTGAATACATAAATGATTCCTTAAATTTGTTCCATATAATTTTCATTCTAATAATTGAATTAAAAACACACTTTTCTCCCTGTCTTCTTCTTCCCTCTCTATCTACCAAATTATTCAATTTTTTCCTCAGCTTGTACATGATTGTGCATGGCAGCCTAAGACAGAAACACCAGGGTGTTGCTGATTTGATATATTTCAAAAATTAAAACTAAACTTAAAGGATTTAAAGATAATATAATAGTGATGAAAATAAGATTTTACTTAAAGTCATATATTTCGTTCGGGATGAATTTTGAACGAGGCAAATTTATCAATTCGATATTATTTATGAACAATATGAAGGTATCAAACAAAAGTTGTACTTAAATTGGAATATTGTTGTGGACCAAAAACCAATATTGACTTGAGAGAAAAGATAAACAAAATGTTAAGTATCATACTATTACATACTAAACAAAATGGTTGATGGAACAAATTCTTCGTAATCTAACCTTTTGAACTAAAATTGTAAAACTAATTATGGTGCTTATTCTTTACTTAATTTCAATGTAAATAAAACTTCAAAAGGGCAAAAGGGGAGAAAAGAAGAAAAAAACACCAAACTAAAAGAAGTTGAGGAAAAGTTTTTTCTTTGCTCATTTTCTCCATTTAGAGCATGATATCCAAACTTTGATTCGTTTTGGCGATTAAGTAGAGATCTTTCTCTTTCGCTGCACTTAATCCACTTTTCTCGCTCATATCCAAATCTTTTGGAGTACTTGTTCCACATGGAAGTCCACAGTCAAAGTGGTAGAGGAGCCGAGCTAGAGGTTGTTTAACATTAGCTAAACCAAACTGCATTCCTGGCCAAATCCATTTTCCTGCACCAAACGGGAGATACTCATAGTTATTTCCCAAGTAGTCAATAGTAGAATTTTCAAATCTCTCTGGTATAAAACTTTCAGGATCATCCCAAACTTCAGGATCTCTTCCTATTGCCCATGTATTGACTAGTATTGTGGCCTTAGCAGGTATTGTACATCCATCAATGATTGTTGCTTCCCTACATTCCCTATTGACTATACTTGGAGCATGTAGCCTTAATGTTTCTTTGATCACTAACTTTAGATATGGCAAGTTATCAAGATCTTCTTCATCAAAATCAATTTTCTCTTTGAAGGCTTGTATCACTTCGCTTTGTGCTTTTGCCATAATTTTTGGGTGTTTCATCAATTCTGACAATGCCCAAATAATAGTGGTGGATGAAGTTTCAGTCCCAGCAGTAAACATGTCCTGCGCGCATCACCAAATAAATAGATAAGACAATGGAACAATCTAATGATAACAACTCTAAAAAAAATTCTAAAACAATATAAAGAGAAAATGAGGGAAAATTATTTTACCAAAATCACAGCTTTTATGTGGTCATTGGTGATTGGAAATTGAAGTTGATCATTCTCTTTAAGTCTTAGGAAAACATTAACTAAATCTTCACCTCCATAGGCACCATTTCACTTGATCCCAGCTGCTCGATTCTTAATATGTTCATTAACAATCCTCTCCAAAACTGAATCAACGTTTTGATGCATTTTTACCAATTTCGACTTTGCTCCACTCATCTTGTGAAGTAATTTCCACGATGGAAAGAAGTCACCTACATCAAATCCTCCTACTAAAAACAACGCATCTTTCATCAAATTTATCAACTCATCACGATCTCTGCACAATTTTGTTTTTGGCTTCTTCTCCATTTTCGAAAAATAACATAAAGGAATGAGAATAAGAGGAGAAATGAAACTAAATTCATCTCCATTGATTTAATTTGATTAGCTGCAAGAATGAAGGAAAATAAAATGCTAGCTATTGGTGGTGGATGATTTGATTTATGTAATTTTATTAACCTTTTATAGTGTTACAACAATCCCCAAATGATTTCTAGAAGCCTTGAATATTAGTACTTATTATACTAATAAATAGTACTTAGTACCATGTGGTACAAAATAAATTAAAATTATTGTTTGAGTGGGACGCATTTTATTGAAAAGAATAAATTATCTCCTTCTTGTCTATATATTATAGTTTTACTTTAGGTCGAACTTTGCACATCATCACCAACAATGATTGTGGTGGAGTGATAAGTACTCCTTCATCCTTAACCAAGAGGTCTCGGGTTTGAGCCTCTTGGGTATGAAGTCACATTTGTTAGGGAGCGCTTTACCTCTAATGTGGGAATTCCCGGCGCGAATCCAAATTTAGTCGGATTCCAATATGGGTACCAAACACTTGGCAGAAAACCAAAAAAAAAAAACTATGCACATCATCTCTCATGCAATCAGGGGGCACTTTTTAGCCATCTGCACTACAATTTTGGCTGCATTACTACTTTGTAATTAAAAAAAGAAAATAAGTTCGGGGGGGTAATAGGACCTTAGTAAAGGTTAGGTGTGTCTCTGGGATTTCGGGCATAGGCTGGGGGGTACTTATGCATTTTCCCTTAAAAAAAACAGTAAAACCTTTTCAGTCATCGACATGTTTCATTCAATAAAACGTGAGAGGGGCAATTTGTTGAAAAATATACAAATAAAAATTACTCCCTCCATCCCTTTTTATTATTGACTTGGCGCGCTTCGAAAACAATGATTAGCAATTTAGTATAGTGATTTTTCATTCTATTCCTATTAATTGATAGGGTCCAAATATATTTTACTCATTATATTTCTCAAAGACATTAACTCAATGAATATATTGAGGGTATAGTAGGAAAAAAAAATGTCCTTCCTTGATTTGTCAAAAATAAAAAGTAAAAAAGAAAATTAAATTAAGAAATATTTGACAAGTAAATAAAAATGAAGGGGAGTAATATTGTCAAGGAGAATTGTGATATTCAATTATCACCAAACTTGCTTTCCTTTTGTCTGTTTCGGTATAGCTCCTCTATTTCTCAACAATACATAATTACGTTTGCATTCAAGTTGTATATTATAGTAGTGCAAAGATTTATTTTAATATTATAAATAACCAATCTGTTATACCAATTAGTAAATCATTATTTTTTACCAAATTATCAGGTAATGCTTATCAAGATACTTGTAATTATCTACCGAGTAGGGGTGTTCAAAATTGAATTGTAATTGATAAGTCAATCGTAAAATTGAAAACTAATTCACTTTTCCCTTATTATGTAACATTCGTCGAGTAGGGGTGTTCAAGATTCGTCGATTTCTTGGAGGTTTGCGTGTGGATTTCGTCAAGGGATGATCCCTACGAGGTATGTGAGATCACATAGCGTTGGTTTAGTTCACCCATGTGCCAAACATGATTCAATTCAGAAAAGTATATTAGATTTGGAAGTAAATCCTTTGAGTTCTTGATGAAATTCGTCTGAATTCTTGTGGGTTGTGTTGTTGAAGTTTTCTTGAGTTTGATTCATGTTTTTAGGTTTGATTTCGAGTAGAATCTGTGGTATTTTGCAGGTGTAGTCGATTCTAAACGTTTGGGGAAAGAACCATTGGAGTTTAGAGGGTTTAGAGATGAAAAACGAAGGAGAAAAATCGGGGATTTTCTAGGCAGGGGATTGGGGCATCGCGCCCCACTTCAGAGTTTGAAGTTTGGGCTCTAGGGCAACGCGCCAGCCAGAGCGCCACAACTTCAGCTCTGAAGTTTGTGCTCTGGCGCCTCTCAGAGCGCGAGGGACACCAATTCTTCCCATTTCTTTCCCAACTTACCGTACTAGTTCCTTAGCAATGTACCTATGTTTTCTAATTGATTCCAACACTCTTAGGTACATCTAAACATCATGAAATCATCCATAAACATAAGATCATGAACCTTGAATCCATAATTCAATTCAAGGAAAGTTAAGAGTCAAGTCTGGAAGTTAAGAAGAAAGTCAAAGAGAAGTTTATAAAGTTTTCAAAAGTCTTTCACAAACGTTTTAACTTGTTTTAAGACTTAAAGTTCAAGTTTAGTAAAAAGAGTAAAGGGTAAATATTGAAGTTCATTTCTTCAAAGAAGTATATGGGGACTATGTATTCCTAAAGAGTTTTAAAATGTTGTCACATTTGAGCAAGAAAGGGAACATCGATTCCAATAGAGCTTTTAAGCTAAGTTTTGAGTAATTATCTCAAACCAAAGAAAGAAGTCTGTTTTAAAAACATATGAGCTAAGTATATTTTGGGAATAGTATTGAGCATCGATATGGGGATGCGAGTTCATATTAACTCAAGTCTCCATAAACCATGTATTCATCATGGGTAGTAAAGGATCATACTTTTTTGATGACTCTTTAAGTTGCTATTTAGCATAGAATAGTGGATCCACTTAGTGAAGTGTTCTATATGACGGCAAAGTATAGGATAGTTCTGGCAGCATGGACAAGACGTTGTGTCACCACTTAGGCTCATAGTGGTGGTTGTCGGTTAGAGAAACTCCCACAAAAACTATATTACTTTATTATATGAGTAAAGTTGAGTTTGTTATTGCATTTTCTTTAACGAACTAAATTGTCTTCCACTAATTTTTACAAACTTTCTATATATTGCATATGTTTTATTGTTGTATAATGAGTTAAGTTATTCAGGAGTTGAGTAAAGCCAAGGTAAGCGTTCCTTTTAAATTCTTTTCAAGCCTATGTTGTGTTCAACATTCCAACTCGCATACTCGTACATTCAATGTACTGATGTCAGTTGGCCTACATCTTCTTATGATGCAGACGCAAGTAACCAGGATCATCACCCAGCACCTCGTTGATCCAGTTGAGCACTTAGAGTCAGTTGGTGAGTCTATTTGCATTCCGAAGGACTCCTTTTGCTTTGCTTTCAGTAATTCATTGGTAGGATGATCGGGGGTCTTGTCCCAACGTCCATTTTTGTTTTAGAGGATTCATAGACAGTTGGTAGCTCAGTTGTCTTTACATTATCATTTCATATGTTAATACTTAAGTTGCCATTTAGGCCAAGTTGAATGTTTACTTTTAAACATTTTATGTGATTTTATTTAACAATTGAGTAAGTGTATTTGATCATTGTAATAATGCTTGGAGTCTTCCACTGAGTAAGTAAGCCAGACCAAGGGTTCGCTTGGTGCCAGCAATGGTTCTCGAATGCCAGCCACGTCTAGGGTGTAGGCTCGGGGCGTGACAAACTTGGTATCAGAGTAGATAGTTCAAGAGTCCTAGGGAGTCTATGAAAATTTATCTGTAGAGTCCTAGTTATCGGTGTGAAGCGCACCACATCTATAATTAGGAGGTTGCAACATTTAGGAAATTTTCTCAAATCTTTCACACTTATTTCGTGCGTTAGAGTTTGATCTCTAAAAAGATTCTCGGCAAGGTTGGTGCTAAAAATCAGAATGATGCAACGGATAAAGGTACAGATGTGGAGCAATATCAAGGTGATGCAAGGGAGATTATAAATGCTAAATTTCAAAGCAAAAGCAACAAAGAAGAACATCAACAGTTGGTCCCTGATGATAATTCTGGTGAAGGAAGAGATTCTCGAAATAATTTGGGGGTTGTCAGGGATGCTACTGTTGATCGAGCTGTTGCAAATAGTTTTGAAGAAGCTACAACTTTTAACTCTAATAATGAAGAGAATCTAGAGAACAAAGGAAAATTGATTGAGGCCGCTAGGCTAGGTGTTGGTAAGCCAGACCAAGGGTTCGCTTGGTGCCAGCAATGGTTCTCGAATGCCAGCCACGTCTAGGGTGTAGGCTCGGGGCGTGACAAACTTGGTATCAGAGTAGATAGTTCAAGAGTCCTAGGGAGTCTATGAAAATTTATCTGTAGAGTCCTAGTTATCGGTGTGAAGCGCACCACATCTATAATTAGGAGGTTGCAACATTTAGGAAATTTTCTCAAATCTTTCACACTTATTTCGTGCGTTAGAGTTTGATCTCTAAAAAGATTCTCGGCAAGGTTGGTGCTAAAAATCAGAATGATGCAACGGATAAAGGTACAGATGTGGAGCAATATCAAGGTGATGCAAGGGAGATTATAAATGCTAAATTTCAAAGCAAAAGCAACAAAGAAGAACATCAACAGTTGGTCCCTGATGATAATTCTGGTGAAGGAAGAGATTCTCGAAATAATTTGGGGGTTGTCAGGGATGCTACTGTTGATCGAGCTGTTGCAAATAGTTTTGAAGAAGCTACAACTTTTAACTCTAATAATGAAGAGAATCTAGAGAACAAAGGAAAATTGATTGAGGCCGCTAGGCTAGGTGTTGGGAAAGATGGAGTGTTGGGTTCGCCTAATGTAGTTGCGGCTAAACAAGACTACTCCATTGCAGAAAACTCCAATAACGAATGGACTTTGGTCTCACATAAAAAAAATGGTGTTTCTAAATCCTAAAACAATCAGATTTTGCACCAAACAATTCTACAAAGGTTGAGATTGATAGAAACAACATCGTAATTGAATGTACTCAATTCGACGTGTTGCGGGATGAGAATATTGGATAGCAAGAAATGATACATGGTACAGATGAATTATCTACTGAATTTGGGAGTACTTTAGGCAAATTCCTATCTGTTACTGGTGTACTTCAGCACACACAAAATTCTGCCTAGTTTGACAAAGACGTTAACAATTTGGGTTTTGTTCCTCGAGATTTGAACAAGAATAGGGGGAGCATGTTGATCAACAAGTTGTTTTGATACATGAAAATGAGTTCATTGTTACAGAGGAGATATCTGGTAAGGAAATCAGTCCAAATACACCTATCATGGTTGTTTCGGATCCAGAGAAAGCTAAAAATGATTTGAATGTTTCTAAAGAAAAACAAAAGGAAATGAGTGCTTCTAAATGGGCAAATTAAGTTAAGGAAGAGGAAAACATTACTTCACCTCCTATGAGTAAGTTAATCCCTCAAGCACCAGAATTTGT